CAACAGAAAGGCATTTGTTTCCACTCTTATCACTACATCTTCTCCTTTGCCTTCCTTCCAATTCATACAAATTACTACTTAACACTCAACCCCTTTCTTTCTCCTTAGGGATTGTGTTGCCTCAATTACCTCCTCTTTTAGTTCATGTGCTTGGCTTATAGACTGGATTGAGTCACACCCACTTAAAAAATGAAATACCAAAGTATACTCCCTTGGCTCTGATTCTCTGCTAACCGCCACCCTATCTTCTTCTCTTCACAGAAAAGCGTGAGGTCTCCAAGTCCTTGCTAGTTCCCTTTTCTGTTGCTTTTATTTATTGTTTTAAAGACCCATCCACTTTGTAACCCATCAGACATTGACTTAATCCACCACCATATCATCAAAACTGCTTTTGCTAAGTCACCAATGTTTTCTTAATTTCAAAATCCAATAGTCACTTTTCAGTATTTATCCGACTTAATTTCTTGGCTTTATTTTTGATACTGTTAACCATTCTCTGGAAACTCTCTTCTTGGTTTTTTATTGCACTAGCCTTTTCTGTCCCTCTCCTAATTCTCTGAGAATCCTTGTGGGGTTCTCTACTTATGGGTTTTTTTTTTTAGTTTTTATTTTATTTTATTTCATTTTTTAAATTATACTTGACATACAATGTTATGTTAGTTTCAGGTGTACAACATAGTGATTCAACATGTATATACCCTACAAAGTAATCACCACAATAATTCTAGTAACCATCTGTCACCGTACAAAGCTATTATTGCATTATTGACTATATTCCCTGTGCTGTACATTATATCCCTGTGATTTATTTTATAACTGGAAGTTTGTACTTCTTAATCTCCTTTAAAAATATTGATGTTCTCTGAGATTCTACCCTTGGATCTCTTCTTTTCTTACTCTATATACTTTCCTTGAATAGTATTTTGTGACCATAGCTTCAAATCTCACCTCTATATCAATGACACCCAAATAAAGGGAGGTGACTTTTTCTGAGGATCTAAGGGACCCCCCCTCCAGTGCATGAATTTTTGCGCACCAGGCCTCTAGTCCTATCTAATAATAGACAAACATGGTAATTAACCATACCTCCACTATGCTTCCCATTGGCTAATCAGCAGGTTATGCAAATTAACTGCCAACAAAGATGGCCGGTGGCAGCCACGCAGCTGAAGCGAGCAGGAGGTTTGCTTGCTCCAGTGATGGAGGAAGCCAAGGTTCCCCGCCTGCCGCGGCCCGGCTCTGAGCCCGAAAGCAACAATGTTTCAATTATAGAAGCTAAACAAACCCAGATACCTGCTTTCAGCCAGCCGCGGC